TGGATAGATATCGCCTATTAAGTAGTATCCTTTAGCGTATTGAGTCCCGTTAACTACACAATTGACCTCCGGAGCTACACCATGTAAAATATCATTAATAAATGGAGATTCGTATAGTACATTTATATCATTTCATGATCCCACAAGCCCAAAAAATGCGTGTCAGATCCATAATTCTTGTGATGCCCCTGCTTCAAGCATAATCGTGGGTACCCCATGGTCCCCTCGAGTGTACGAGCCTTGCCATCCAACTGGACATTTTTTCCATTCTCTGTGCATACAATCTAGACTTCCCAACATGTTAGGAAAACCATGTTTCTCCTCGTGTAATGTAAGTATTCTTTGGATGTCATTGGCATTTGGGGAGCACAAAAATTGGGGTGCATATATTTTTCGCACATCACGACAAAACTCGAGCAGACTTCGACTCGCAATTTGCTTTGACATACAAAGGTATTCGTCACATTGATCGGTAGGAGCTCAGTATGCTAGTTGACGTGTAGTCACGGTACACTTCTGAATTGGTGTAAAACTTGGTCTTCGTGCCGCATCTGATCTACACTTAAAATCATCAGAATGACCTTCGACATCTTGAACGATCCGACAAAGTAATCGTCTGGATATACGGAATTTACGAGGAAAGTAGCATTCGTGGTATTGGGCCGAATAAATAGAATTTCGATTATTCCAAGGCTCAGTTTTTATCTTAAAAATAAAATTGATACTTGGGCTAAATTAATTCGATTTTTAATATTAGAAATCGAATAAGTTCTCCATGGCTTAGACTTAAAACCTAATACTTGATTTAGTGCAAATAGTACTAGATAAATGCATCAAATAAGAAAACTTGCTATTTATAGAAATAAAGTCGAGCTCCATAAATAATAAAAATATTCGGCGAGTTACAACTATCATCCAAGGCGTAGCCTTATAGGACCCAGTGTGGGCCTAGGCCCGCAGGAAAAAAAATACTATATTACATACTTTTAATACTCTATTAATTAAATTGAAAAGGAAAAAAAAAAATAATGGGAACACAAATAAGGGAAAAAAAGAGATAAAATAAATTACTGTTCTCATTAATTTTGGTGAAAATAAATTTAGTCCTTTTTATTAGATTTGATATAAATATTTAAACTGGTTGTTCATTGAATGTTGATTCTTAAAAGACTATTAACATATTTAAATTTGTGTGTAGCTGATAACTTGTAGGGCTCTTAAAAGTTTGATATATTAGATAAAACATTTTATACGTTATCATGACATTTTTAATATCAAATTATGTTGAAATATTTTATAAATAGTCTTGACAAAAAAATGCATATAAAAATATTTCACAATTAGCTACTTTTAATCCAAATATACTTGAGATGATTTATAATATTGTTAGGTCGAAAGAAAATGAAAAGAGCCAGAAGCTGCATATCCAGGATTTAGAGGACGACACCAGCAACCCATAACCGGCTCTCTGACTTAAAGGCAAATGAGTAGAAGCAGGGTTCCCATGATCTGCTTGAAGTTTAACCTCCTAACCACAAGTCTGATAAGCTATCGATTCTATTTAATCTCTTAAGTGAACGAGCGAGCAAAGCAGGGGGCTAGGCTAGGGTCTATGACTGAACTTCATTTCGTTCGTTGGGTTGATCACATTGGGTATTATAGAGTCATACCAAACTATGAAAACTCATAAGAATTTATATGAATGTGTATTTTTATATTTATAATTTGTTATTGTGTATTATATTTGTTTTCTAGAAACAAGTAGGCTGCCTCTCATTTTATGAGCAAGATTCGTCCCTGACCATCAGATTACACAATACCGAACGAAACTGACCGAACTAAATTTTTCGATTCG